GTGTCCGTTATTTTATTTCACGTTGAAATAACGATATTAATCTTAGGTACCTGTATATACACCAACGTTACCGAACTTAACGAGCCGCCGACTAATATTGGGTCCTTAATTTTGTCAGTGTTCGAAAGGTAAGATTAAATTTGGTTGTGAGAGTAACGTGTGCAGATTGCTTCCCATAATGAGCAATCTCTCACTCTGTCTTGGGCTTTTACAACGCTCCAGTACAAACGAGAGAAGAATATGAGCGTGTGCGCGCGCGTACGAAACGACAGGTTATTATGTGAGAAGACCTTTGAGAAAAGAATCAAAACAGGTGCAACAACTTTGGAAGTCTCTTCATTTAGCTACGCTTTATTTCATTATGATTTATCGAATTGTTAGATAGTTTTATAATAATTATTACGTAAGTGCAATATTTTTTACTTTAGATTTAACGACAATAAATTATCCTAAATTATTTCGTCTATAGTTGAAATAAACAAATTTTTCATTGCTGTACATTAATTGGATTTGAATAATGTACATAGATATGAATAAATAGAATTTTGTTTTTTTTTTTTAATCATATATATATATTTTTATCGTTAACGAATAATTCTATCTTCGATAAGGGGACAATATCAAATTTGTCAGGGTTTAATTAAGGGGATGGGTTAAGATCTTTCGTTTATTTTATAACCTGACGATGAGTTTCAAAAGATTCACCGATGTATACTTCAGTTAATTATCAAGCATTAAGTTTTTGTTACTGAGAAAACACCTTGGTTACTTGTTAAACCGATGTTCTTCTTAAAGGTGTCGATGAACATCTCTCGAAGACGAAGGAAATAATTCAATACGAGATGCGGTATTTTTGGTAAGACAGACACATCGGGAGAAATGAAAAGAAAAAGAAAAAGGTTAAAAAATAAAAGAAAGAAAAGAGAGTCACACTCACGCATATAATTACGAACACATAAATAACAACGACATACGTAATTCTTTCGAATTCATGTTTAAGTACTTACTTACTTACTTACTTACTTACTTTAGGCTTATCTTTCGTATTTCCAAAGTATGTGTGTGTATGTGTGTGTGCGGATATATTTGCGCGTGCGTGCAAGAGAAAAAAAGACAGAGATAGGTCGCGTGCCGTTACGTTTGCAAGCCTAAATTTTAGTCGGCGCGTATTTCGTGCATGCGTCTTTAATTACAACGGGCCGCGACGTTTTTGCAACACGAAATGTGCCAAGTAATGTAGACCCATTTGCAATGCAGGGATATGCTTTCGTTACGAAGCTTAATTGGGAAGTTAAGTTCTTGGAAGTTGATGCATTCGAATAATATATTCTCCTTCACCCACCTTTATTGTGTTACATCGATTTGTTCCATTCGAATATATTATTGTTTTGTCATTTTTTTTGTTATTTTTATTATTATTTCATCTTAGAAAAAAATTCAACTATTATATTTAACCGGTCATCTCTTACTTTATATAGTAATAAATACTTCAATGGTGTGATTATGTGCACTGGCTGAATTATTTTCTTTATGAATATACTTAAATAGAATTTGATTAGCTTTTAGCAAGTAAAAATTTAAATCATGATTTTATTTTTATTTATTGTATTTATTATTTTATTTTAATATTGTAAAATATATAAATATATATAAATACATATAATATATATTGAAATAATTAAAGATTGGCTAATCTTCACAGTATTAGAAATGCAATTAGAATGCACAAATTTATTTGTACACATCATTGATTAAAACGAAATAATAATTATTTGTAATTTATTGTTGCAAAATCTCGAGTAAAAATACAAAAAATAAAACCCCAAAAAAAAGAACAAAATTGTAATCTCGTGCGACAAACGTGTGCCAATTTGAAATTTATCACGCGCGAGTTCTCCAATGGGATAATCAAACTTCCGACACATTCGTGCCAGATCTTGATCTCGATCTCGATCTTCTTATATACAACAAACGGGTGTAGTAAAAAAAACTTAACCTTATGCGTATTCAACTTTGTGTACGTTTATATGTGTCCCTATGTGTATGTATGGATTCAAAATATCGAAATATAAAAGACACCGAATGCGCAGGGATTAGCATATCGAATGAACCATCAAAAAGTAAGGTAGATATGTATTTAACCGTATGCGGAATCGAACTTCAACTTTTATATTTAAATCGATAAACTTGCAAACCAACCAACCAATCGGTGACAAATCCTTATGGGATCGGGCTTTCTCTTAAAAATCGATCAAATATTAAATACAATTAAAAAGAGAATTATGTGTTCCTCATATCGAAAGCTTATATTTTATTTATATATTTTAAGAAAAAAACGAAAGAAAATAATTATCTCAATATTCCTTTTATACAATTTCAAGGAAATTTAATAACTCCGACTGAATAAATTCAATTGATTTTTCTTATTCCTTTCTTTGTGTGTAATTTATATGATACCATCATGCAACACACGTTTTTTCTTTCTACTTTCAGCACATACGAAAGTTTATATTTATCATATATATGTTTATTATATTATATATTTCATAATTTTACCAATAATTTTACTACATACGTTTTATTATAACAGTAGACTAATTATTATCTATAATATAAACTCAAATAATAATATTACCTAAATTACACACAGGTGTGTCATTATAATCTATTTTATTCAAACCTCATTTTATAAAGTAGTTGTTATAGCATTCCGAAAAAAATTACTAATTCAACATGAAAGTTTTCTTCCTTGTTGACACATCCATATAACTTTGTTCATAAATATATTTTTTTCATATTATACTAAATAATTTTACTACGTCAATATTTTTTTATTATGCAATAATCTAATATTATTACGTACGATGATATATATATATATACTCAATCTAATAACCGAAATAGTAATAATATCTAAATAACACTTGTCACACTACAAATTTACTATATTTTTGAAACCCATTTTAAAAGCTCAGTTATAACACTCGAAGAATAAAATGATAAACAAATGATTAACTTAATCAAACTCGAATATATGTGTAAGCCCGTTTCCGAGTGGATACTAAATGAATGAGTACCGATCGTTTGAGAAAAATCGGTACGATGACTGAATTTTTTCACTCCACCGGGGGCTGGCTCTCTCGTCGTTTCATTCTCAAACTAGGCCAAGTGTATGATAATAAATAATTCGTTCGCCTTCGACGATCCGGTTTATCACGAGGTAACGTGCCAAAATTATTTCTGTATGGGTTAAGCACGTGCGCAAATGTTTTAGCACGTGTGTATTTTTACCTTAATAGAGATAGAAAGAGAGAAATAAATGATTGGGGGTAAGATAGGAAGAAAAAGAAAGAGAGAACAAGAATAAGAAATAAATGTGATCGAATTTGGTATATAAACGTAGGTGTCAGGTAAAAATAAATGTTCGTGTTAGTATCAGCAGGTGGATATTTGTTGGCTCGTGTAGTCGAATTCGATCAAGTAGTATATACCTGACTGAGTTTTCGTCGTATTGATACTCTACTCGGAAGACAGATTCGATTTCTCCAAATATATTGGTCCAACATGTGGTTGGTAGTGGTATGTCGGCCGCAGCTGATCGATTTCTTGCGATAACGTCCTTCGCGGGTACATATAAATGCGGATAAATTTTAAGTAATTCGAGGTAGTACCTTTAAATCGACTTCCTTATCCGAAATTCACATTTATTATCATTCATTATCTAAATCGGGGAATAAAAGTTGCGCAACCTGTTCTTTTTTTTCTTCTTCTTTTCTTTTTTCTTTTTTTTATGAAAGTTTCATTCGAGATTCTTTTTTTTTTTTTTTATTATTCGCAATATTATTATTATTATTATTATTTTTCGTTTGAAGTGAAATGAAATTTCGATGATTTATTATTACTTATTTTAGTTAATGTCATTTTGTTTACGCAAGTACTATGCTAAAGGAAAATAATAAATTACCTGATGTGTTTGTTAGATGATTTTGTTTTACATATATACCTAGGAATTTATTATAAAAAAAAGAAAAATTTTATTTGCAACGAAGTATCAAATTTATGTTAAATCGAAACAATTTATAAATATATAAAACAGTATTAAATGATAATATTTTATTAAACAAATGTTTAAAATTATAAAGTATAGTATATTAAAGGAAATGAATTCAAAGATTTTGTTTGGGAAAACACAAGAATCAGTGTTAAAAAAAAAAAGTACCGTGTGAAAGGAAATCCCAGGTGTATCTACACACAGATTAAAGATAATAGATAAGACGTATCCGAAAGTTTGGGTAACATAATGGAGACAAAAAGGAACCCATCGTTTATTTTAATAGTCGATCATTTGTGCCCGCTTATGGTAGACCAATGGTGCTACCCGGATGGTGGTTGGTTTATTGTGCTGGCACCATTACTAGGAATCGTAAATCCAAAAGGTAGGATCAAGAAGAAAAAGAAAAAGAAAAAAAAACAAGAGAACATTATTTTTATCCATAAAAAGAAGTTAGATTGTTGATCGAGATATCATCTCAGTTTTCTTCTTCGTGATTTTAATGATTCGCGGATATTTAGTGGACACTTTGAGGACACTTTGCGGACACGGAAACATGGAGAACACGCACAACAAACTTGGGTTCTTTTTAATGCAGCTGCACTTTCGAAATATCTCTCTMCCTCTCTCTCTCTCTCTCTCTTTCTTTCTTCCTTGTCCGATATTTTCTCGACTTGTTTCTTTTCAATATGTTGGAACGTAAACGTTCGCTCAAAAGTCCACTTTTTGTTGTTGTTATTATTTTATGTAATATTAATCCCTTGTTTATCGAAAAAGAAGAAATATAAAGAAATAAACCAACCCGATAATTACAATTAGGATACGACTGTTCATTATTTTTATAATATAATTATAATAAATAAACGTACACACAAAAAAGAAAAAAGGAAAAAAATATTTCGTTAATAAAAAGTAAAATGAAAATTATTTAATAATGAATAATAGGACGTACTTATATTTGGCTATATTTCGAAAACACGACAGATTTATTTTCTAGACAACTTTTTATTACATATCAGAATACGATTCTACGAGATGATGTCAGTTTGTAAATTAGATACTTATCAATATACTCTTAAATATATATGTAACATTCGGCGTGCTTAAATAAGAGACATTGCTATCGGTGTTCGTTTTTAAAAAATAGGAAAACTGATGGATCAAATTGGATGTCGACAAATTAATTCCAAAAGTCACAATGCAGCACGTGTCTCTGTCTCTCTCTCTCACTCTCTCTCTCTCTATTCTTTTTTTTAAATCCCTGCTCTCCTTCTCTCTCTTTCTGTACCTTTTTCTTTTCCTTTTTTTTTTTTTTAATTATCGAATAGAAAATTTTCTCAACTTGTGTATATGTTAAAGTGTTTTGTTGTAAGTAGAGTATATGTGCGTGAATTCTTTTTGTTTACGTGTATACATATATGTATGCATGTATTTCGTGTGTACATAATAAATGACCATCGCAACGACGTCAAATTCAAGATCGCGATCAATTAGGTATATTGAAGTACCTAACTCCTTTCTAACATAATTCTTTCTCCCCTCCACATAATCACGACGTTTAAAACGTGTATATTTGTCTTTTCTGTCAATGATGTCGAGGAAGAGCCCGTGGCAGTGAACAGAATGGGTATGTATTTTTTAATATAGCCTACGATTTATAGAATATGCAATTTGATACATTGGTATTTTTTATTTTATTTTATTTTATTTTATTTTATTTTAGTTTATTTTACTTTACGTTTACTTTACTTTATTTTATTTTACTTTTTTTCGCATGCATTGTTTAATGATATTTTTCGTATGTGTGATGTGTTTACTCGTTTTCCTGCGTGTATAATTATTTATCTTGTTTTTTTTTTCCCCCTTTTTATTTTCTTTTTTAATTTATAATCGCGTGTGTGTGTTACTTTTATCATAATTCATAATATTTTTCTCTTTTTCGTGTATAAGTTCAGCTAGTAAGCATATAACGATTTATTTTTTCAATTCTTCCCCCAACCCTTTCCCTTCCCATCCCTTCCCATCCCCCATATTCATTCGCTCGTTTGTTTTTTCGTTCTTATTCTTATTCCCTTCGTTACGATTGAATTTTCGTTTTAATTCTCTCTTTTTTTCTTTTTTTTTTTTTTGTAATTTTTGTAATTTTTCGTTTTTCATGATATGACGTATCAATATGTATGTGTAGTTTTTAAGTTTTACATGATTTATTTATTTTCTTTTTTAATTCTTATCAGGAGATCATCGCCAAAGCCAAAGAACCCATTAATGGTAGTCTTTATTCACAAAATTCAGCTATACAGCGGTATATATCAAAAAACTTATAAAATACAAAAAATCACTATGGCGAGTCACTCCTGGTTCATCATTTGCGCGATATATCATTTATATATATATAATATATATATGTGTGTATATATATATATATTTATATATCATATGCTCTCGTCTTTTGTGATATGCATATTAGAGCCAAAAAAGTTTGACGATATTGATCATTCATGTAGAATAAGATTATGTTTGTGTTTTTTTTTGTTTCTTGATATTGGAAAAGCCGATAATATGTATCAGCGATTTTTTTTTTCTTTTTTTGTTTTTTTTATTTTTTATACTAATGTCTTCGTTTCCTTATATTTTTTTTTATTTTCATTCGATATCCCTGGATACCGATGATGAAAATAAGTTGTAGCACTAAAGAGTTTTCCCGTTCATCCGTCCCGTTCCTTGAATGCCGGCGGTTGTGCACTTTGACCATTTGCCTTGGATGAATCTTCGCTGGTCATCACTGCTACTAATTCGCCGACAGCTTTTCCAAGGTCACCTTTAAAATAAATTATCAAATTGACATATATGTTGTTATATAAATATTCGATATACATTTTGTTATCTTATAATATATATTATACTGTAATGTACAACACATGCGTGTAAAAAATTAAACGAGACGATATTATTTTATTATTTTGTCATAAAAAAAGGTGTTTTTAGCGCAATAGTTTAATTATTATGTTAATTTCGACGTTGAAATGAAAGAGATAATAATATTATTATTATTATATATATATGATTTGTGTGTGTAAAAGAGATAGGACGAAATGTATATTTCAAATTGTTATTAAATATCATATAATATATAATTTAATTAATATTGAAATATATATTAAAGATAATTATAATATCTCCCTTACCTTACATCCAGCCTGTAGCGTGAAAGCAGTAAAGCTTAATTAATATGTATCATGCTGATTTTGAAATGAGCCAAGCGATGCGCTATTATCGATCGCTAATAATTATTAATCAAATATTTTATCGAAACTTGACCAAATACACACAAAGGTGTTTTTATGTTATATATAATATCGAAACGAATGTAAACACGAAAATTAGTAGACATTAAAAAACACAGGGTGTCCTGTAATTGGTGGTACAAGTATACAAAATATGATTCTACACGAAAAGCTAAATCGAAAAAATGTAGAATAAAATATGTTTGTTATAAGATTTTATATACTTTTGAGAAAAATAATATTAACAAAAAAATGTTTAGAATAATCCGCAGGTTGTTTTAATTACCAGTTACAGGACAAATCGTATATATTTATAACACACGAATGAATATGTGACAACTTTGATAAATGGTCAAAGTACCGATTGAAAAGCAAAGCTCTTCTCGATTAATATATATTTGTTTCTTTTGATCGTACCTAAATGCAATAAATAGATAGAAGAAGAATAAAATGAAAATGAAGATGAGGAAATTTAGAACGAACCTGCCATGTTCAAGAGATTACTGTGAGAATGCGGCGGGGGTGGTGGTCTCTCTAAGCTGCCCACTCTGCCCTCGTTCGAGCCTCCACCACCTATACCATCATATATACACCCAATGGCGATAAGCAGAAACTTAAGAAATGTCTTGGTCGTTAAATATTTGGTGTATTATATGTATGAGAACATACGTGTCATTTTTGAAATATCGACACAACACATTATTAGGTTCCACATATTGCTGGATATTGATTTACTGCTAACCGTAAACGATAATAAGTGTTAGTTATCGAGTATTGAATAGTTCGATCAGTTAAATGTATCCCAGTGTTAATAACTATCCAAATTGGAAATGGGCGTTTAATAGAGAATTGACATGTTTAAATGATAATATGCAATAATACGAATGAAATAATATAACAAAATACCTGGAGAGTCATGGTAATGGCCATTTATTTTCCCTGGGGAATCGGTAGCTAGCTGAGACGCTGTTACACTTCGTATTTGTAATGTTCCTGTTTTCGACGGTGAGGAAGCGTTCGGCTGTTAAAATCAAATAATAAATATATATAATCACATAAGAAATGTTTTAAATAATACTACATATACAAAATAATATTATTTCGTTCTCTTATATAATTCGAATTTAAAGTTTACCTCGTCTAATAATTGCCTGAGTCTCTGCAATTGAGCTTCCAACTGACGATTGTGATCTTCTAGTATTTGCATACGGGCTTCCAATCTTCCTTTGTGCTGCCTCAACATTTTAGCTTCGTGGATCATATCAGCATCGGGTTGTCTCGTGCCATGACCATCTTCCGGAGTTGATCCTGGTGTCTGTTTCGAACGTAACCTTTCGTATTCAGCCTGCAAGTTAGCATTTTCTTCCTCGAGTATATGTATCATTGCTTCCAGTTCTTCCCTTTGTTCAGCATCGATAGCTGCCATAACTTGAACCGGACTTTTAGGGACGTTTACATTGTCACCACCGTTCAGACTCTGACAATAATGGGCTATCAGTTGATGTTCATCGTCGCTATCCGGAGTTGAATTGCTTCGTGTACGTGACAATTCAACTTCAGCTAATCTAGACGCATACATTTCTAAACGTGAATGCATATCTTGACTGAGCGAGCTATGTTGCGGTGAAGGTGCTGGACTCTCCAATGCATCACCCTCTAAAACTGTTTGAACCGGCAAATAACCAACCCTTGGATGTTTTTTAAAGTATCGTTTCGATTTGAATTTGTTGCGCAATGCTCTCGTGAAATCTCGCACGTCCTCGCCCGATGTTGTCTGTTTAAAAAATAATAATTAATTTTAATATATATAAAATTGTTTTATTTGAAATAAATTCAAATATTATTCGGTGATTCGCAAATATTTAAATTTAAATCTTTTTGTAATATCTACATTTTTAATTAAAAGTTCATATATTTCGTATATATACTTACAGCTGTGCAATATTCCTGCATAGGATGAGTTAATTTATGATTCTTAGCTTTTCTACCGGAGAAAAAGCAATTCTGGCACATGTCAAAATTGAAGCACTTTAAACATCGATATCTGTAAAAACAAATTAATTAGAGTATTAGTTAGAATTTATTTGAAATTGTTTAAAATTTCAAAAGAAAAGGGTATAAGAAAGTTACCTGAAACCAATGATTGGATATTCTTTACAGATGTTGCATTTAGCTTGATGCTTGGCACTCTCGGCTGCAGAGAGTCTATGAAGTACAGGCAACCATACCATACTTTGCGGTTCTTGTTGAAGCCAACTAAGAAAGTGTACAGCTTCGATCTCGTTCTTGTCCTTTCCTGCTTTCTCGAAACAACTACGTACGCTTGGTTCGATATTGGATCCACCGAAAGCTGCCACCTCACCCAATTGTCTTGGTACTTGTATACAATCGTGCAATAGCAATCCCAATTTACGTTGATCGACCAATCGATTTGGATCGGCTATTAGTCGAAATAGATCTACGAAAGATTTTTCATATATTAACGAGATGCTTTTTTTTTACAAATTGTCACACACAGTCAAACGAAATTTAAATACCAAAGTTACTCACATCTATATTTTTCTTCCAGGTGACCCTTGCAAAGTAGCACCAGGCCAACTTTGAAGGAAAGCACACGAATTTGACCGGTACGTTGACTGAAAGATAGACAAAATAAGATATTTAAAAATTTTCTACAATTATTTATTGATCTCCCTGTGTTAAGATTTGACGATCTTTAAAATACATTAAATACACTTTTTGTCTATGTAAACAAATAATTTTTGTGCAATAAGTTACGTTAATATATTTTCTTCAATCTTATGTTCAAATTATTTACTTGATTTTGAATTTATCTTTTAGAATCATTTTTTTACATCTCTTTTGTGACAAATAAATGATATAGACGAAGTCGTAAAAATAAAATTAGTCGAACTACGAGGAAATTATTAAATTGAATTTTGTATGTGTTTAAAAGTACAGCTTACCTGTCGTATACATTAAGGAGCCAATTGATTGCCAGATCGATACACAGTGGTACAGATACTTGAGTTGGATTGTCCGCTGCTATGATCTCATAGAGAGACGTCAAAACGGTCACCATATCAGGAATGTCTATCAGTTTATCGTTCTGTGCACGGAGACCGTGTGAATCGAATTGTTCCAACGCGGTTGATAGACTCAACAAATCCACTGTGGAACAAGATAGAAGCATAATAATCAGTTGACGACGTGAAAAGCACAGGTACGCTTGATCGACGTTTATATATATATATATATATATATATATATATATACTTCTATATATATACTTCTATATATATACTTCTATATATATACTCACAGCACAATCGTTTCTGCACGGTGCGCAATTTCATCGCTGTTCTATAAGCCGAAAAGCGAACCTCGTTCAAATCCGCGAGGGAGGACATTAATTCGATCATTTTCGGATGATCCCAATGCGTTGTCTCTAGTTGGTGGCTGTAATAAAATTAAATATTCTTTTTTTTTAATGTTAAACTTATATAGATTTCTTATTAAGAATATTTTGTTAAGGGATTAAAAGCGTAATAGATTCAAAGAAAATAATTTGATCAAAGTTTCTTTGAAGTATATACAATTTAAAACAGATTACAACTATCGTTTGCTGACCAATATTAAATGTCTCTAATATTTTGGTGATTGATAAAATTTATCAATAAAATATTATTATTTAAAGCAGAGGGGTTACTCGTTTGCTTTAAGTATCACATATTACATTTTACTTAATTAAAACTTGATTTTTGAATTGTAATATATGTAAAGAAAAATATATATATCTCTCTGCATTATAAATTTCGCAGAAATTTGGAAACATTCTTAGGTTCAGCTCGTTACGGGAATTTCTTTTCGCGTAGCTTGTTAAGGGACGTTTTTTTAGAAGTAAATAAGAGATCAGAGGGAGGGGGGGGGTGGCGGCGGGGCCGGGTTAAAGGGAAAATAAAGTAAGATAAGAAATGTTGATTACTTGATATAGTAAGGCACTTTGGCGGGCGTAAGGGCTCTCTCCCATGGTAATTCTACGCTGCTCGCGAGGAAAGCCTGACTACCCGGAGTGCTGCCATCCTTTCCAAATCCGCTTAGCAACTTGTAACGCTCGTCAACCGCCACTTGCAGCACCTTCCATCTAAAATGGAAAATACGAAAATATAAATTTTTAATTAACATTATTTTTTTGTTCATTCATTCACATGCATTGTTATAATAAACGTCTTCGCAAAAAATGAGTAATTGTAAAATGCACTTTGTTAAAAAGATACGATTTGTGTTGTGTGTTGGCATGTACATAGATATTAATAAAAATTATAAATACCTGCTATTGAGATCTTCTAATTTAGCCAAAAGGGCATGAGAAACGATGACGCTGCTAGACGCGAAGACACTTGCTTGATCGTTCGTATCTTCGATGTTCCTTTGAATTGGTACCAATCGTTCGCCGAACTTTTGCAATTGTTCGAGCATTTCCGACGCCTCGTTCGCGTCGGTTGGATTTTGCCAACCACTTTGGATTGCCTCGGCTGCTGTCATGCGGGACGAGAGATCCTCAAGACACTTTTGGAAGACACATATTTTCTGAAAAATAGAATAAAGAAATAACACACAAATCCGATTAGTTTTCATGTAAAAATTAAATTTAATACGACGAATACAAAATTCGTTTTATTTAAATCAAAAATATAAAGAAAATAATTTTGCAGTATCGTATTAATGTTTAAAAGAATCAACACAAAAAAACAAATCACATGCACGACCCAGATAATTAAATGAAATACTTTTATATTGTATATATATATATATATCTGGCTAGATATTTTTAATCGTTCCTTTATCCGTTCTCAATGGATGAATAGAGGATTAATTTAATAAAGTAATATCAATTCTAGAGAACAAATACTTACTTTATTACTTTGTCACGATATCAAGAAAGAAATAAGAATAAGAATAAGAAATCTTTCTTCGTGTACTCAATTAAAAGCATTCTTCTTATCATCCGTTCTTTTTAATACGTATTTCATTATCTCTAAAAGTAACAATTTTCTTTTCTACCTTCCCTTTTTACCTCTCTCTCTCTTTCTCTCTCTCTCTCTCTCTCTCTTTTTCTCATTCTCCATTTCTTTCTAATATATTCACAATGAAAAATCAAAAGGCGTACCTTTATTCATGGTAATAATATTCCACGTGAAAGTAATTACGCTATCGAAGTCGTTAGGTAAAATCAATAAGAGGACTTTTACTTCGGAAGATTTTTAATATCGAGAACAGTAACCGTGCTACTGGGATAATATTAAAACGAAAGAAAGAAATCCGATGATTTTCGTGAGAGTTGAGTAAGAGTCGATAGGTGGAGAGGGAGGGAGGGAGGGAGGGAGGGGTTCAATTGAAAATCGGCGGACAGAGGAGGGCTGAAAGGGGAGAAAGAGGGTGGTGGAATGAGAGAAAACCGAGGTGACCGAGGTCGAAGTAATTTTTCTTCCGACTTGGCACGGTGTCTGCGATGTCATTTATTATGTAGCCAAGCAAGCAATTAAAGTTCACTCGTCCGTATTCACCCCCTTTTTTCTCTCCCCCTCTGTTCTCTCTCTTTCGCGTGGTCCAAACGAACTTCTTCGAATTTATTCAAGTTAATTGTCTGGCGCCGTCCAATATCCCACTACTATTGTACATAGACCCTGCCCCATTAACGGCAATTAACCATACAGAAGGAGACCCTCCGATTCTTTCTAACTATACGATTTATCCAACGATAAAGACAAATCAGTGATTTATTTAAGATCAAATAAAGTGTTAAATAATATTTCAAATAAAATATATTTTATATATTGCGAACGGGTGCATATTAAAAAGGTGATGTGTTTTCTTTGTAATTTTTATTAACGCATCGTATTTAGAGATAATATTAAAATGATATAATGTGTGCCTGTAGATAATGTAGTAATATATAATTTTGTTTTCAAAATATTTTATATACACTATATATTTTACATTCTTGGTTTCTGCTAATTATATATATATATATAATATTTATCAAAATTTAATTAGATGTATCTCAATTAGTTATTGCATTATGGTAATTAAACCTTAATACATCTAATTAACGAATACATTATTATTTTAATAGTCAATGCGATCATCAGAGATAAAATAGAATTAGGCGTGAAATGAAATGGCAACGACTGTGCATTGTATCCTCACATGAAAGGTCATTTTCGTGCAATCACGACATCGAGAGGACAAATGAATTCGTGTAAACCGATTAAATTGCATGCTAATGTCCCTACCTACTACCAATTGCATATTCGAATACGTTGATTTAAACGCGATAAAGCAATTACTATAATATATAACTTTACGTTACGAGTAGTCTTCAAGTGTTCACGTCGATCGAACTTTCGTGTTTTGCTACGTTATTCGAGCGTATTTCTAGTACCTACCTACAATTCGATGACCAATTCGAATCGAGCACTAGCTAGCTAGCTAGCTAGCTAGCTGGCTATAGCTAGAGAGTGCTTACCACTTTTGCAATTGTTTTCGTTACGAGTAGAGAGAAATGACCATAGTATATATATGTATGTATACTAATTCTAGAAATTTAACTAGAAATTCGAAGCTACTTTTCTAATACGATATGTTGTACATTAAAATGAAAAGAAATATATTTTAAACAAAGTATATATGCATCAAAAATTAATATAAACTTCGACTATGTTACGTAGAAGGATTTAAAATAAAGGAAAAAATATTTCGTTACAATCCTGAACATATTCGTAACACTCTCGCATATATATACATAACACATTATAATCAATCTAAATATAAATTTTAGAAGTATTTTTGTTGAATATAATAAAACGAGATGTTTTTAATATAAGTTCTTATTTATGAAAATATAATATGAAAAATATAAGTTTTATTTCGACCGTCATTGCATATCTATCACACACACACATGCATATAAATATTACAATAACTAAAAAATATAACACTTTAGATGTGTGTGTGTGTGTGTGTGTATTTGATATAAAACAGTAAAAAAGGATTCTTTTAATCCGTTCCGTGGTTTCCCTTTTGAAAATAATGGAAAATATAAAATAGAAAAAAAAATTCATTTTTTGCTCAGCGTTCCACCGGAAAACCCAAACACGATAGGGAAAGAATTAAAAGGGGAAGAGTAGAGAGGGGCGGGGATTAGCTCGTAAATAAGTCTGAATCTCTGGGGCGATTTTCTGTTATTTATTGGTCATCGGTGGCAACGGCGCCTCGTTTGTTGGCACCATGCCATGTGAATCTATTATAAGTCTTGGCTCGTCGTGCTAAAACTTGCCTTCAGATTCCTTCCTTCTTTCTCCTATCAACGGATTACCCTAGACCTTAACCTCACGGACCTTATGTTTCTACCTTAGTTAGATACAATTCCAAGTCACGTTGCTTTTAAGTATCGTATTGTTCCGTGAGAACGGATTTTTAACGATTAACAACACATTTTAGTTAATATTTATATATTATGTTATAGTATTTAATATATTATAATAGATTAATACTAATATATATATGTATTTTGTCATATTCAATCCAAATTTAAGTAAGTAATATCTATTTTTTAGCATAGGTATTAGTTTAGTTACGTTTACTGATACTCTTACATTCTAGCAAAGGATATTTTTCAAACGTGATTTATAACCATCTTACGTTTCGATTTATCAAAAAGTTTATTTTGCTATTCTATCAGAAAGAAAAAAATCAAAGTGAGCCACCACGGTATTGTATGCGTATATATATATATATATTAAACTATTAAATTTCTATAAAAATAAATATGTTGAAGTGAAAATACGGTAAGACGGTCGGATATGACGATAAAGAAATATAAAAACGACTTTTAAGATCGATCAAAGTTTACGATAGGAAAAAGGTATACGTATTCTCAGCGATAAGTAAGTCGCTTAGATTAAAATCCAATTCGGAATTAATTTAGACGTCACTCGAAGGTGCTCATAAAATCACCGATAAAGATTTCTATTTAATACTTATACTATAATAAATGAATCGACGAAAAGTCGAGATTGATATTTAAAAAAGTTTTATACATTGATCCAAAAAAAAAAGTTTAAACGTTTAAGAACGTTTGCACGATATTTGACTTTTTTTTTCTTTAAGAAAGTCGAAGAGAAAAAAAAGAAAAGCTTGTGGAAGAAGAAGAAAGAAAAAAATGAGATAAAATCAATAAAACATTAAAACCCGATGGACAGGAGCACCGTTACAACGACAACAATTACTTGACTATTATATTTTCTCTAACTAATAATCTCACATTTTCTTTTCTTATCTTTTTCCTAACCAACTTTGTCATAATCATATTCTTTTTAATTCTTACCATTCAATCTTTTTCCGAAAGTATCGTTCGAACTATCGTATAAGGATCGATTAAATTTATAAAAAAAAAAAAAAAGAACAAAATCAAGTCACGAATCTACGATATATAAATAAATATTCATTTAACTAACGAGACACTTTCTCACTATCCATAAATAACTACCATAGTATGTGATATCATGAAACGTAAGTGAGTTGTTAACGAAGACCTCATCTTCGATTCATGGAAGCGCCAACCAGCACCATGCCGATTTGAAAACGATTCGAAGAAGAAGAAAAAGAAGAAAAAAAAGATTGTAAATGAAGGAGGAAGAGGGGGGGGAGGGAAAGGATAGGAAGACGAGGAATACAAGCTGATAAATCATTTTCATTTCTATCTTTCTTCTTTTTCTTCAGATCATATTTTTTTTGCTTCCCCCACTCTTAACCCTTTTATACTCTCTCTCTCTCTCTCTCTTTCTCTTTTTGCGAAGATCGAAATCCCTTAGTAGGCAAACGATCTGGTTTCGCATGGATCCACGGCAACCTTATTTCCACTCCAAACGTGGTTCGTCTTAGCCACGAGTTGTTAATGGCTTCTCGTGTATTCGATCCATAATTAACGAAGCTTCGTTAAAAGAGAAGCGGTATCGGAGTCTTAGTCGTCGTCGTCGTCGTCGTCGTCGTCGTTGCTGTTCTCTAAAGGGACGACGTGAAATAAGAAGAGGAAGATTAAGTGGAAAGAAGGTTTCTCGATAAGAGGGACGCGATTAAGAAAAAAAAAAAAAAGAAAAAATGGATAAGAGGAAAATAAAAAAAAAAGGAAAAGAAAGGAAGGAAGGAAGGAAGGTTTGAACCGGTTGGAATGAAGAGAGAGAGAGAGAGGGAAAATTTAAACCTACGCAGATGCTGTTATGCATGTCCTAAAGGTTCCTCCTATATGTGTTCGAACACGTTAAAAAGCGTGCATCGATTTTCAAATTTGTATGATACATGCATATATGTATGTGGAGGTTGACATTGGAAAATTAATATTAAGTATATCCTTCTTGGATCGTTGTAAACGAAATTCGTTTTTTTCTTTTAATATCGATGTAGAATTTTTATCAAATCTATATGCTTTTATGTAAATTTATTAAAAAAAAAAAAAAAAAAAAAAAAAACTATTACAAGAACAAACGCGCGAAAAGAGAAAATATGATATAAGTTTTTAGTTTTAATAT